CTGGTGTGGTATGCCCAACTCCATTTTGGCAGTGTCCAATCCTGGGGCGGAGGGCGCCCACTGTTGCTCGTGTAGGAAGACCGGTGGCAGGTGGGTGCTGGCGTTGGCTGGGTGGTTTCACTGTTTGTGCGGTGTGGTTGTGTGGCTTGGGCTCTGCGCACTTTCCGGTGGTGCTTGGGCTATCCTTGGCTCTCGGTTGGTGGCTACACGTTAACCGCTACTGGCGCCTAGACAGCTGTGCTTTAGCTAACGTTCGTGATCATCTAATGTTGGCTTGAATGGTAGCTGGGCTTACGGCTTGCAGAACACAGCTATCTATTGTAGCCTAGCGTTGGCTGGCGTGGGCTTTGCTGCTGGCCTGCCCGCGGGGGGGCTGGGTGGGTTGGCTGGCGCGCACCTACTTATCACCACAAAACCAAGGGTGCACGGAGCTCAGCGCGCTTGCGCAAAAGAGAACGATAGCTGCAAGAGCGAGAGAATCACATTAGCATATATATAGGCCCAAGCGTTGGTACCCTGCTTGTAATCTCACTCCAACAGAGACAGCACGCCAGTGGCACACGAGGGTCACTCCGACTTTCAGAGAGAGCTAAGATGCGTTGGTTACCTTAGCACCACCAAGTGCACAGCTGCTAGATCTAGCTAACGGTAGCAAGCAGATTGCAGTTAGCTTTATAACGTATATCCTTGTCTATACGTTTCTATGCATATAATTCACGTATTGAAAACGTGCTCCAACACTATCTACCGATTGATTATGTCGACTATCGACTAAATATAATCCCCCATTCAAACACAATCGTTTTAATACCTCGAGAGTTATTATACACCCAGTCCCTACACTGGAAGCAAGATGCATTTTAATATCAGGTGTCACCACGATTGTTTTGCTCCTAGTTTTGAACAATTCAAAAACTGTAATCAATCTATCTACAATATGTAAGAGTTGAGATGCGGAACTGTGAATCAAGGGCTGTTTCTACCAATATACGAATGAAGTGCGGTGTAATTAAAGTCAGTTTGTACATAACTGTAAATATGTTAATAGGTCTAGACAAGAGAAACATCAGTTAAACGTACCCGTTTGATGGGGGCCATAAAGACCTCAACACTCACGACGAAGCTTGGACTTCCTGTAGTTCCGTAGCTTCTAACAAAGACCCAAAATCACCATTGGACCAATCATTTCATTAAATCCATATTTGCTAATTCCACAGAGCTTGTGTAAGAAAACTTGGGGAGGAAAAAGTATGCTGTGATTTTAACACCTATTACCACCCGCGCAACAAACAATGTCCTTGCAAGGCAATCTCCTCTAACGTGGCAGCCCATCACTCCACCATCTTCTCCCTGTTTGCATGTCCACAATGCATGAAGTGTGTATTTCAGCCTGTGTGTGTGTGTGTGTATAAAATAAAAGAGTGAAAAGAACAATTTCTCCAATAGGGGATTAATAAAGTATCTATCTATCTATCTATCTATCTATCTATCTATCTATCTGAATTAATTAATAATTAAAGGTCCAGTATGTAGAATTTAGTGGCCTCTAGCAGTGTAGTTAGAGTGGCAACTTCTTCACTTACCCTCCTCTTAAGTGTTAAGGAGAAACTATAATGGCTGCAAGCACGCAAAAAATGTGAACCCCCTATCTAGATCCAGTGTTTGGTTTGTCCGTTCTTGGCTACTGTAGAAACATTGTGGTTCAACATGGCGAACCCCAGTTAAAAGATCTGTAAAAAGCAATGGGTCTATGTGCTTTAGATTGTACGCTTTTTGTTTTACATGCACAAAAGGCAGATGCTGAGTGTTGTGTGTTGGACTTACCATGGTGACACCATGTGCATACCCTCACTACATTAGGAGGGAAATATTAAGATGTGGAAATACCCCCACACTCTGCACCAGCGCCTCATGAGCAGGTTTCGGGGTTAGGTTGCCTTGCTCAAGGGCACCTCGGCAGTGCACAGGAGGTGAAACTGGCACCTCTCCAGCTACCAGTCCACTCCATATTGTGGTCTGTGGTCTGTCACACTGAGCTACTGTCGCTCAGCTAAATAATATAGAAAATATCATAATAAACAAACTAAATACAACATGTTAATTAGTGAGCTTTAGAGGTGTGGGATGGTGTACTACTCACTGCGCCAGGCTAGCTGTTCCCCCTTGTCTCCAGTCATGCTATGCTAAGCTAAGCTAACCACGTCCTGACTCCAGCTCTATATAACACACTGACATAAAAGTGATAAGAAAGCAAGTAGCCATGTTTCCCAGAATGATGAACTATCCCTTCAACTGTTCACCCCTTGTTTGCTTTGAAAACTCGTATATCAAAGTACTAACAACCTCTTGGGCACAAACATCACACCATCTCACCATGGCTTACCATCACATGTATTTGGAATCGCGATTTGCTAAGGTTTTGTTAGGTTCAATTTGTTTGTTTTGAATGTTTGTAATGTCCATCACCTGTGTATCCAGTGTGTATTGCTTTAATGCTGGTCCAACTCACCTGTGCTCTCCCCTGCTGTCTTTCAGGTATATGAACAGCTATATGACACTCTGGACATTGTCGGAGGACCGGAGGTGCGAGCACAGGCAACAGCCAAGGTATTACATGCAAACTTAGAACTAAAGAGCACTTCAGTAATGCACGAAAGGAATTATTTTATAGATATCAGGCCGTTTTATTTGCACAACTAGCACAGCAAACCAGTGCAAAGTGCTAGTTCCTGGGTGCACGGACTGTGGGTATGTCCTGGGGATGTGCACTATTAGTCAACCAGTTGGTTACTGATCTTGCTAGTCGACACCAGAAAAACTAGTCGGTTAAACTAATTATCATATTTTACAACATTGGTTAATTGCGTCTTTACACAGCCACCCACCACCAGCCAGGGATACAGCCCCTGCAGGCGGCAGCCCCTCGTCCCTGTTCTAATACCACTGTCATTTTTGTCCCACTTAAGTTAGTGGTGGAGAGAATATAAAATGAAAACTTAAAAGGCATCATATATCAGGTTATCCCACAACCATCAATCAGCCAGGAGAGCATTCTCTCTCTTCATCTAATAACACAAACAGTGTCTTCATTTCATTTCTAATAATCTACGGCGCTGTCCTGCCAAAGTTATTGTCTATATGTTGCCAATTTTAGTAGTACCCCAATGTGTTTACTGACATAAATGCTGATAATGTAACAAACTGCCCCCACATCAAATGCGTATAACCTATAGCCTTCCTTATTCTGAGATAAATAAAAGAGTAACTTGTGAAGCCTGGCTGTCAATCAATCAATCAATGACATATCAATTGTTTTCTGAGCATTTATTTACTAGTCAACTAGTCTAAACTAAAATTTTCATTTGATCAACTGCAAAATTAGTTACCAGGAACATCCCTAGTGTCTCCTAGCTCCCCTGTTATTTCGATTAGGCAGTGCAAAGTGCATTGTAGTAAACTAATATAAAAATAAAAACTAGAGGTCAGAATAGTAAAACAAATACTTATTACTTTAGTAGATATACATGAGTATACAGGAGTAATGTTGCATAGGGATCATAGTGTACGTTTAACGGAAAGTTAAAAATGGTTGCCACATGTGTAGCTGAATGGCAGATCTTCTCCAATTGTAAATAGTACAAAACATCTGTGATCTACTGTCCATATGTTGGAGATGAAGAGTCCTTCCATTTAGGCCAGACGTTAGCTAAAGGCAACAATATCGGTTTGAGCTCTGCTTAGGTTAACATCTGGGGGAGTTACTCTAAATAATGCAATGGACATAGATGGAGCAACAGACTGTCCAAAAATCTCCAGTGTGTAACATTATTTGTCAGAAATGGAATATAATATTCACAGGAATGTTTTCATTTGTGTATATTCACCTGAATGTAGGTAGTCCGCCATGTTGAACCGCCATGTTACTACACTTTCCTAGAAGGGACAAACCAAACGCTGGCTATAGATAGGGCCTTTTGCATTTTTTATATTTTTTCACAGAATGAGGGCTGTGGATTTCATCCCAAATTGCTTCCATTGGAAGTATGTTAGGAAGGGATTCCTTCCAGTATAAACAGGAGCACTGATTACAGCAAGCTGTACAAATCTACACTGGTGCTGTTTCAGTGTACAGTTGGGTTACCCCAGTTTCCACCAAGGCACTGCCTCATTTGAATGAACCACCCACTGTGTACTGTGTGCTGTACCACACAGATGAGCAACGTCGATGTCAAGGTCAGGAAAATATAATTTCAGGAATGTAACTGGAGATTAAAGGCACTCAAACTCATTTTATAACCATTTTTATGTGGAAATATCACACTGATCATACAGTTGTCCTCCTGACAGGCCACAGTGGCAGCCTTTGCAGCCAGCGAGGGCCATGCCCACCCAAGAGTGGTAGAGCTGCCCAAGACGGAAGAGGGCCTGGGCTTTAACATCATGGGGGGCAAAGAGCAGAACTCCCCCATCTACATCTCCAGAGTGATCCCTGGGGGGGTGGCCGACCGCCAAGGAGGGCTTAAGAGAGGAGACCAGCTGCTGTCTGTCAATGGAGTGGTAAGACTGAGGCACACTGAGAGGCTAATTTTAATGCCAGTTTTAAAACAACATTAAAAGGATAAACCATGAAACTTCCCCAGTTGAGAGTTAAGAATTTCATATTAGTTTTCTGAGATTGCTGGTTTAAATATGCAAATGATGCATTGTTTAATTTCAATGCTCCAATTTGCATACATTTCCAGAACAGGAATGTGAACATTGAAGACTTGCATAACATGATATACCCATGTGTTTTATATCAAAAGACTTCAGCTATCTGTAGAATAATGGAATATTTGTCCCGTGTGTAGTCTGATTTCTGAAACTATTCAAATCTCTTGTGAAAACACACCTTTACTTGTGTGGAACAGTTGTTTTAGTGCTTTGAATGGGTTCTAAAGTCTTAAGTTTACAAAAATAGTGGAGTATTTAAACATAAGTTAGTTTCTTTCAGAAGACACCCATCAATTAGGCACGCTGAAAGGCAGACACTGCTCTCTTCTCTTCCTCCTAGCGCACTGTATGAATCAGGTACACTATAACAAGAATATAGATGCGGAGAGACTACAGATTCAGACAGTATCGCAGAGCTATTAATAGAAACATTGCAAAAAAGAGCCAGCTCATTTGGCAGTTTTCGCGATGTTTTTAGTTAGAAAATATTCCACAAACCAGGCCTCTGTAAAAAGCTTCAGAATGTAGATAGGAATAAAACTTAATGGTTTTGTGTATGTAAGTGCTACATACAAGTAGTATGTAATGAAGTATACATTTCACAGACATAGTAAAAGTGTAGTCAAATAAACACCTAAATGTGTATTTTGGGCATTTTATTTCCACTAGTCTGAAAAAAGAAAAAAAATTGCCCAAAATCTCAAAATTGACTTTTTTGCCTATAGTGTCTTGCCTTGATATTCATGCTCAATACAAATACTTGAGGTTCCAGATGATTAATGATAGCGGAAAAAATATCAGCCCCAGTAGTGACTGATATGAGTGGCACCCTGCAGACCTTTGGTCCCTCACAGCATGCGGTCTGAGATTCTTGTGTGTTGGTGCGATGCAGAGCGTTGAGGGGGAGCACCATGAGAAGGCGGTGGAGCTGCTGAAGGCTGCCCAGGGTTCAGTCAAGCTGGTGGTACGCTACACCCCAAAGGTCCTGGAGGAAATGGAGGCTCGCTTTGAGAAGATGAGGAGCGCCCGGAGGCGACAGCAGCACACCAGCTACTCGTGAGGCTGCTTGTTAGTCTGCACCTAGTCACCACTGTTAATATATGTACGGGGACACACTGTCAGCGTGTGCAAAATCTATACTACATGTTAATTCTAAACTACTTGTAGTACATACTAATCATCACAGCATACAGTTTCAGTAATTAACATATTGAAAATCATCATACTGCAACAATACATACTGTGGAATTTCTCTCCTTGGGTCTGTGTGGGTTTTCACTTACAATTCAAAGACATCTAGGTTTGATGCATTGGAAAGTCCAGACACCATTTCCACTTGTCTTATAATGTGATCTGTTTTAGGATACATTATTGGGATAATGATATCTGATCACAGACCTTTGCAATTACACCCGCTCTTATTATGTGCCCCATCTTTCCCAATTCTGCCTCCATTATGATCAAATCTCAGTGTACAAATAAGATAGGTGGAGCTGGCACACTTGTCTCTGGTCAAGGAAAGACTAGAAAGCACTAAGATATGCAAGGCGAGGATCAGGTGATGTTGATGAAGACAGCTAAAAGCCTCAGTAATCAGAAAGTAATGAATACAAGCGGGCCCCTGTCTGCCGGGAGTCTTCTGAAGTGATGTGGCTATATGGGCTCTAGAAGTGCAATGTATGCCCCATGCATTTACAATTGCATTATAACGTGCATTGTTCCTGATCCAGATAAGATATCCAGATACAGATCATATGATCACATATAGGTGGAAATGGGTCTAAAGAATGTGTGTTAACAACGTAAGAGCGATCGCCATTTACTTAATGTATGGTTGGATGTTCTTCTCATAGCATCCGCAGGGACGTTCTACACGAGGACACACTAGCAACATGGTACTTTAGCTGGTGTTTACTGATTATTATGGTGGCCGTATGTCTTATTGCAGTTTAGCTTAGTGCATGCAGCGTAATGCTCTGTCTCTCTTCCTGTAGATCTCTGGAGTCCAGGGGTTAGCTGATCCAATGCCTCCATCCAACTCATCGTCCAACCCTCCTCACTCTTCTGTTCCAGGGGGAGGCGAGACTGTAGATGAGAAGCAAAAAACCAAAGTAGCCTGCCAACACCTGTTACCTGAACTTGTTCATGAAGCCAACACTGCAGTGTAGGATTTTGTCCCCTCCCTCTTTACCCATTTCTTAGAAAAATGCAGAGTAAGCTTATTGTCGGACCATGCCTGTAATTTTACCTTCCCAGTGTGAAACCATCCTGTTACATAAGGGCAACACATTCTCTTTAGTGTGGCTTAACTGGAACCTTACTCTCAAGTTTTACTTTTGCATTCTCATGTAATGCACTGCACTCCTCAGCAGTGTCCACTGTCTGCAGTTAGAGCTCAGTAGCAAAGGAAACGTGTTGAAGCTGACCCCGCCTTCACCACCCTTTCTCTGACGGATGTCCCAGCTAGAGGGCTAACCATTAGCATTATGAAGATCTACAATTTAATCAGTGGCTGGCAGGGGCCATCGTAGTCCAGGTTTTGAGAATTGTTTAGTATTTATTTATTTATGTATTCATTTATTGCATAATTATTTGTGAAATAAAGTCTAACTGTGTAAACTAAATGCTGGCTTTCTCAGACATAACAGGACTTTTGCTTGTTCTGTTTAAGAACTGAAAGATTTGTTTGCTAAAGACCATGAAACACTTACAGTATGTCTATACCATAGTCTGATAAGATATCAGAGGTGGGGTTAAAAGGAAATGAGTATGCTAAACTCACAAAACGACCCATTGCGGAAGGAAACAACCGCAATACTTGTAAAAAGTAAAAGTAAATGTAGTGATTAAGAAAAAAATGGCCATATGGCAGAATAGGTGGGAGGAAGACCATAAAGGAAAAGACAGAATTCGGAAATAAAAAAGGACTATAAAGAAAGGAGCATCATCATAGCATGACTCAGATTGGATACACAGGATTAAATTACTTGGGAAAGGGACCAGTGACAAATGTGGGAGCTGTGGAGTTAAAGAAAACAAACATTGTATTGCACCAAGCAGAAAGAGAACGACTGCATCATAAAGTCTGAGTGGAATCTAGGTAGAATTTAAGAAATGGGGCACCCTGATACCTCAGCTGGTAGAACAGGCACCCCCATGTACCGAAGCTGAGTCATTGCTATAGCGGCCATGGGATTGACTCCGACCTGTCATCTGCTCTCTCTCCCCTTCAGCTGTAATTATATGTATGTACCCATATATATAACGTTACACACATACGTATGTAGCATGATGTTACACAGTCAGTCGGTAGGTGGCGGTGTGCACCTTAAAGCTGCCAGTTAACAAAGAAATGAAATAGAAACAAAACAGGAAGGAGGAAATGAGGGAAATTTAAAAGAGAAACAGATGATATCCGTCCTGAAATCTTCGGATAACAAGACGTTTAGATAATTGTCAGAGAGAGAGAGAGACAGCCTGAGGTCTGTATGACAGGACTCACTGCTGAGGACTGTTTCTGACCGGACTGAATCAGGTAACGTTAACTTAACGTTAGCACAGAGATAAGTTCGGTTAATGATGTGTTGGTGTTAGCGGCTAATTGTGTCTGTCCAAACCAACAACTACTGTCAATGGTCCAAACAGACACCAAGTACTGAGCTAACGTTACCTTTATTTAACACGGGACTGTATCAGGAATTAGCTAACGTTAGTCACTAAAAACTGTTAGCGTTAGCTTACTTTATTCCACTAGCTAACGTTACCAAGGCAACTAGGCTCGTCCAGGTCATAAACTGGCTGAATGAGTTGGCGTTGTAATAGAACTTTAGTAACTTTGTTGCGGAATAAAGCTAACAGGTTAGTGTGCTAACTGACTACATTTAAAACCGTGTAAGTTAACTAAGTTAGCTAACTAGTCTGTTACTTAAACTAACGTTACCACCAAAGGCTAACTGGCGTTCTGTGTTTAGTTCTACAGGTGTTTTCACATTACACTGTTTCTCTGCTAAAAATATGTGCAAGTTATGTGTGTAAGTTAACTTCAGTCAGTTTAAATATTACAATACCAAAACTTAATATGATCAAATTAAAACAGTATTGCATAAACGGCAATCAACAATCAAACATTTCCATCTCAGTCTGTCAAAATTCCAGGGGCCTTGAAATGTCCTCTTTTGTCCAACCAACACTCCAACCCCACAAATATCCGTTAACTGTGATATAACGTTGAAACAAAGAACAACACAATGTGACACACTCGAGAAGCTGGAATGGGGATATAACGTTATAATGTTAAGATGGTTTTTTGTCTGTTTATTTTGAATTTCTATCTATTTGCTGAAAGCTGCTGTAGTGAAGTTTTATGAAGATAACTTTTTGTTGTGTTTGCTGAAACTTCCCCTATATCCTGACAGTGGTACACAGAAAGTGTGAAAGTTTCAGCAAATACGACAAAAAGTTAATTCTATAAAAGTTACTGCAGCTTTAATGTTCTCTCTTTGTTATTTCCCTTTTTTCTTTATTAACATTACTTTTTTACTTAAATGTTGTCATTTGTGTGTGTTGTTCTTTGGTGCTGTGTGTCATATATTAAAACTGATAAGGTGTTATTAAACGGCGATGCTGACGTTTACAGCACAATTAAAGTTAGGGAACATTAAAAACAAACGTGTTCTTTAAAGTAGTATTCCAGTGGAAATCAGAAACAAGTCTCACTGTTGTCCTTTCAGGATGAGGAGTTCCTCCTCCCTCCTCTCTCCTCCCCCCTCTTCTGACTGCCTCCTCCCCTCCCAGTGGTACGGCCTGTCATGTACAGCCTATGATTAGAATAATAAGACTAATTAAATCCATATCGCTGTGGCTCTGAAGCACAGCAGTGTGTGTGTGTGTGTCTGTGTGCGCGTGCCCACTCCTCCTGCTACTGTTGCCTACCATTCGAACCAGGCTCCACAGATGACAGTGGGTTACTGTGGAAAGCCCTTTCAAACATAAACAAACCATTATAAATGCTCAGCTGTTGAATGGAGTTCTTTGGCCTCCGCAGACAGGCAGCATGTATAGACTTTCCATTTAAGGCTGCGTCCAAGAGCGGGAGACTCTTAAAAGAGCCAAGAGAGGGAACAGTAACGCTGTGTATAAATAGAGAGAGAGAGAGAGAGCTGTAAAAACCAGGAGAGAGAATAGTAATATTGTGTATCAACAGAGACGGAGACAGAAAGTGAGACAGTCTGAAAGTTAAGACAGAATAATAGCACAGTGTATAAACATGAGAAAGGAGACAGAGAGTCATACAAACAAGAAAGACAGACACAGACAGGGACCAGTGGTGGAAAGTACCTAAGAACATTACATAAGAACTGTACTGAAGTACAGTTTGAGGTACCTGTACTCTATTTTATGCTACTAAATTACTACATTTCAGTGTCCCATATTACTTTTTGCTCAGGTAAATACACTTTGCAGCAGTAGTTCTCAACTTGGGGTCTGGGGACCATCAGGGGTCCTTGAGGGGGTTCCTGAGGGTCCTCAGAGAAATAGGATATATTTGTATCAGAATATATAACAATGACTGTTCATATAGGTTTCACACTCTTCACACCCTGTATCAATTTGGGGGTTGAGAACTACAGTCTACTAGTTACTGTGCATTCAACTTTGCTCCAAGCAAAGG